TCCAAATCAACCGAAAACCAGATTTCTCAATTCCACCGCACACATAAAACCACTAAAAGATTCCCCAAACCATGAAATAATCCAATACAATTCAACAAGCAAAAGAGAAAATGGAATTCAATCGAAGCCAAAAATGAAATACATTTGCAATTCCATTATTGGGGGTGTGTTTTTTGACACGAAAAGACTCAAATACCCTTTAAGCCAGAAGTTTAGAAAATTATAAGTTCACCCCATAATTTTAATAAGTTCCAAAATGAAGTTCTCAAAATTTTCAATTCAGTCCCCAAAATTATACATAATTCAATCCAGCTGTTGTCCAACACAAAACTAATTCGGTCCGAAAAGAAAGAAAAAAACAAATGGGCCCAAGAGCCAAAAGAAAAAAAAAACTCGTGAAGTAATTAGTTTCCTAATCTAATTGGGATTCTTTGACAGAGTCCAAATTAAATTAAAATTTTGCTATATATAATATATAGAGAGAGAGAGTATTCACAATTTCACACACGCACACAAATCGGTAGACAAATCCATGGCAACGAAAAGGGCAAGCAATTTGTTCTGGTCAATTCTCGCCGCCTTAATTTTGGTGTTGGCACTCTTTGCCGCTTCCGCCGCCGCCGCCGATCAGCCGCCGCCGGATGTATCGGACACTCAACAACCACCGGCATTAGTTACGAGCAGGGTGAAGTTTCATTTATGGTGCATGACGAGTAGCTATAATTACACGTACTTGGACACGTGTAATCCAATAGAGAGCCCATGTTTACTGGGCTGTAAATTATCTTATGGAGATATTCAGAACCGTTACTGGAAGACCGGTTGGTTACCGGAGGAGTACGTAGAAGCCCTCAGAATATTTCATAATTACAATCAAACCGATGTAGATATCGATATTTGCAAACTCGACTACACACAATGTCCCAATAAAACCATGGCGCTCAGAACCCGTTGCACGTCCACCGAGATAAGATTGACCGGTAGTGATTATTATTGTTTTTTTTAATTACTTTTTAGTTTCTTGAAACAAAAATAAATAGGTGTTAAATTTCTTTTTTGTTCATATTATTATTATTATTATTATTATTATTATTATTATTATTATTATTATTATTATTATTATTATTATTATTATTATTATTATTATTATTATTATTATTATTATTATTATTATTATTATTATTATTATTATTATTATTATTATTATTATTATTATTATTATTATTATTATTATTATTATTATTATTATTATTATTATTATTATTATTATTATTATTATTATTATCTTTCTTTATTCAAATCGTAGTTTTGCTTGGTTGAAGCATGTGAATCTATGTATTCGTTTTTTTAATAGAAGAATATGTGTTTGTTATTTACACGAAATGGTATGTTAAACACTGCTCGCATCATATATTTATAACACATTCAAAAATGAGATTAAATTTTGAACGGATCAGCCGATATGGATTCCACTAATTTGGGTTATGGGTTATGCTGGTTTTTTTTTTTTTTTTTCAATTATTAGAATCCGAATTATATTTTTATTTAAACTATCCACCTGTCAATCATCATCAGATTTTCCTATTAAAACAGGCCATGCGGTCTAAATTTGCACCCTTCAAAAATTATGTTTGGATGAGACTAAATTATAATTTTTTTTTTATCATATTCGAATAGAGGTGTGCGCGGGCCATAAACTCGCGGGTTCTATCAAAACCCGCCCTCGTTCCGTCAAACAACGGTTCTTGATTTTGAAGAACCAAATTTGTGGGTTTTTAACGGGTAAGGGTCGAAACCCGTTATCGTCTAAACTATTTTTTATATATAATTTATAAGTTTTACGGGAGAATAATTAGAAACAAAAATGAATAACCTAAAATTTTAAATTGAAACCAAATATAAATAATGTAAATGTCAAGAGTAAATAAAAATTAATATAAAACTAAAAATAACTAATTGATAACTTAAAGACAAAA